ACTGACTGAGTCAGACTAACTCAAACTGACTCAGACTGACTCAGATTGACTGACTCAAACTGACTCACACAGACTGACTCAAATTGACTCAGACTGACTGACTCAAACTTACTCAGACTGACTCACACAGACTGACTCAAATTGACTCAGACTGACTGACTGACTCAAACTTACTCAGACTGACTCACACAGACTGACTCAAACTTACTGACTCAAACTGACTTAGACTGACTGACTCAGACTGACTCACACAGACTGACTCAAATTGACTCAGACTGACTGACTCAAACTGACTCAGACTGACTGACTCAAACTGACTTAGACTGACTGACTGACTCTGACTGACTCAGACTGAATCAGACTAACTCAAACTGACTCAGACTGACTGACTCAGATTGACTCAGACTGACTGACTCTGACTGACTCAGACTGACTGACTCAGACTGACTGACTCAGACTGACTCAGACTGACTGACTCAAATTGACTCATACTGACTCTGACTGACTCAGACTGACTCAGACTGACTGACTCAAACTGACTCAGACTGACTGACTCAAACTTACTCAAACTGACTGACTCAGACTGACTCAAACTGACTGACTCAGACTTACTCAAACTGACTCAGTCCGACTCAGACTGACTCAGACTGACTCAAACTGACTGACTCAGACTGACATGAAAAAAGTTAAAGATAGAAGCTAAAGCCTGACGATCACACAGTACAAGTGAACCACCGCATCCCCCAACGACTGAGACAAAAGACAACAATATTAAGGATCAACAGTGTTCCTGTACAGCTGGTCGGCCTCTGTTCATTATTACAGTCACTAAAAAGCAGAAAAGCAGGACTTTATTACGTTACATTCAGTAGGAAGTTAGCTAGCGCTAGCTAGATAACATTACATTAGGAACAATCCACAGCCGAAATTTTTCTGGATTTCTTTCAGATTTTGGAAAGAGAATAAATCGTACTTCTCCTTTCAGCCTCTCTGGGTAGCTGCTGTAACTATTACAAGAGTCCGCAGGAACAGCGTTTGACCAGATCTTAGAAAAATACAGCCAGAAAAAGCTAGAAAACAACTCTTTCTGCATTAGAGTCAATGGAGCGCAGCCATGAAAGTGTCGGAACTCAGTTAGAGCGAGTCCTATACTGTGCTGTGATTGGCCAGCTGCGTATTCGGGGCGGGGCTTAGCAAAGGGTCAACTGAGCCAGAATCTTCTAATATGGTCAGTGAAGCTGCTCTGCACAGTGGACATGGATGTGGACAGCAGAGAGGTGCACATGTGCAGTCGCTGCACATACACAGGCAGAGCACAATATTTACATCACATAAACCGTCGCAGCTATGCAGACATGGAAGATGTTGGATTCAATCACGGCAAGAAAATGGAGGATTTTGTTTTTGGCTGAGTGTTTAATCATTCACAGGGACGACGGTACGAAGAAAAACAAGCCGGTGTTAGGGTTTAGTCAGGCATTTCACAAACATCTGCTTCCACAGCCAGACCGTGAATGTCCTTGTTTTGGTTTGAAGTGTCAAGGACAACATGCAATGAAAGTAGGTAAAGGCAAATGTATTTATTTATGTATTGAGCTTTAGAAACACAGATGGGTAAAGAAAATGACCAAGCTTGTCTTTTTGATATTGGCCCCATAGATTTTTAAATAGGTCTTGTGTCATTACACCAAGTTTCCATCAGTGGGTCAAGACATTTCCTGTGGAGATTAGTAGGAACCATCATCAGCTGATTCTGTCAGGTGTATTAAACAGCCGTCCTCAGCATCACTATTAGCCTGCAGTATTTTACATCTGATACACATTCAATATATATCTATATCTATTATATTCTATTCTGTAATCACCGCACTGATAGCTGTGTCCTCTTTACACACTGATTATAGCCTAGTTTAAAGCCAACATTAACATTCAGTAGATGTTGTGGATATATTGACATAGTAGCTTAGCCCATACTTTAGAAAGAGAGGCTACATGTGGTAGTTTAATACACTGATGATATATAATAACCCTTAATAACCCTGATTATGCATTGATAGATTCATATGTGAAGCGTTGGCACGGCTGCGAGACACACAGCTGAAATGATCTCCGAGGTGCTAGATGATGACACAGACGTTCACTAAATAATCACAGCGTTTCCTTCGGCTGACTGACGAGCACGTCAGACCCCGCATGATGAAGTGACTCCAAAGCTGCCCCTCACTATCAGCCCAGTTCACTGAAGCAGCGGGAAGGTGTTTCGTGCCACAGGGGAGAAGCAAACGGCGTCAAGTGGAAATGATGTCAGTAAACGCGAGCATGAGGTAACCGGTGTGTAAAATAAAATGTACCAGAGTGAACTGATCAGATTTCTTACTCTCTTCAAATGTAAAATAAACGTCACAAATCTTCAAGTCAAATAATCATTTTGTGCAAAATTATGAAGAAGGCACATTTCTATTATTATCCAAAGGGTAAATAATCTCTTCCCTTTAAAACAGAGACAGGACAACAAGAGAAGTGATTTTTACCACACTGTCAATAAAAACTAACTATGCACTTTGAGCTCGGCAGCGCTGTTATCCTGCAATTTATTTGAGTGTTTTCCATCGACCAAGGCAGTTTGAAGTGAAGACATGTCTGGTGTTGAGTAAGAATGCTTCTGAAGCCCAGGCTGACTCAGAGCATCCCTCTGTCGCTGCCTGATGATGACCAAAAACTAACTAAGTGCAACTCGTACATTTTCTCTTCAACGTCAAACCAATGTGAACGTTGAAATCTGCAGCCAACTCCCTCCAGCCTGCATACAGACAGTTCTTACTTAAATGAGACACACGATACTAAATTGTAACAGATATATATTTTGTAATTGAGACGTCTAAAGCGCTTTGTTTTGTCTTTTTAATTGTACCAAAAGTCAATTCCAAAGAACAAAAATGCTTAAACACACACGGCACAAGAGCAACACTCTGACATGTTACATGTTTATTAAATAAACAAGAACAATGTGTTTTATTCTGAAACAATTCTGCTTAACAGCGTATTCCACCTCTGGGGAGTAGCTGTAGGGGAGACATCACTGCACAATTTCATGTTTGCTCTGCTGACTGGAATAAACCACACCGACTGTGTTCACTGTAATGAAGGAGTGTTTCATCGTGGAGACACTGAGGCTTTTTAATCAACCTTCTCCTGCAAAAACAGCTATAACAGGGCAGCCTGCGGGACTGGGGCTGCACAGTTTCCTCAAGTAAGGCTCTGAACAAAAGGTACAACCTTTTTTTTTTTTTTAATAAGTTTGCTCAATTACTGATTCAGTCAGCTGAAATTACAGTACATCTCATGAAGTCTGTCACAACTCCAGAGAGAACTAATCATCTATCAGAGGGCTGACTCAAGGAAAATGTCTTTTCTTTTTCTTTGTTCCATTGTGTCAAATACATTTCTGCCTGGTTCTCACTGTGGGGAATCTGCCCCGTTATTAAAGCCTTCTTGTCAAACTGACAGTGTGACGTGATCACATGCTTTACATAGTAGAGAAAACATCTAAAAAAACAGTATAAAAGGAGGGCGGACTATTTAACTGTCTCTTAAATTCAGAAATAAGACGTTGAACTGTGTGCCTACAACAAATGTTTGAAACTGAAGTCTGCAAAGGAGGATTTGGCCGGATTGCAGTCCTGGAAAAAGATCAGACCTTTTCCATGAGACTGACTAAAACCTTATTTAAATGCATTATTAAGTAAGAGTAAGTAATAATACTCTAACAACCGGAACACAAAGGTAATCAAAAGTTTCAATAAGGGCGACAGAACCAATGAGTGAACGTCACTTCACCTCCTTTATCTTTGGTTTTCTTCTTCCCTAAAACGGGATCAACTCATCCAGGCTTGGAATGTTTTATCCCTTCTTAAATTACCACTTGAAGATTATCTTTTGAAGCAAATCTGAGTATTGTGCCCTCCAATTCACAGCCCATCTTTAATGTCGGTTCAGAAACTTCCTCACACGTCACTTCTCAACCAGAATTCAGGACGAAATTCATCTAGCATCTGAGGAACACTGAGAACTGGGTATCTGGGGAGCATGGGGTCAGGGTTTAGAGTACAGGCATGCAATCTGACAAATGCTACTCTGGACTTAAGTACTCTTTTTCTTGTATTTATCAAGTATCCTTCTGCTGTTCTGAAAGGCTTCATGAAGCACCAAGCCTGGCCTCTTCATCACAAGTGTCCTGCATAAACCTTGCACTTCTAACTCAGCCTTCGCAAACTGCAACAGAACACGAGAGGACTCGGGAGCTGGGCTTCACTACGTGTCAGTCTCCATTTTAGCTCAACTTCTGGAGAAAAAGAAAGATGACTCGTTCCTGCGGGACACAGAGAAAATGGCACTACAAATCATTTCAGCAACTTCGCTGTGATAGATTGAGCTTGTCTGGTCGTTTGAAGGCGACTGATTAGGCCCTCGAAAATGCAAACTCAGCACTTCTATAATCTTCCAGAATCCCCAATCAGATTTTCAGCACATTTGAGATGAGAATTCAGTCTGTGCTAAGTGGCAGAGCACTGGTCTACAGGGTAGGGGCAAAATATCATCAATATAAAATCTGAACAGCCTTCTACATTTTTTTTTTACTCTGCTAGTGTTTTAATCAGGTTTCATAAAGAACAGGGTGTGTTGATTCCTCCCCCTTCACCTCTGAAATCAGCATATCACTGCAGATCGTCGGTCGTAGCACACATTCAGCTACGAGTTGTCTCAATCAAACCATAATCCATCCTCCGTTAATCTTTGTCATCACTGCGACCCATTTTAGCAACCAGCGACGTCTTGGGAACACGTTCATCGTTACACGCCCTGCCTCCAAATTAAACTCGTGAATTATCCCAGAGGTGCAAAAGAGATGTTTACATCTGATCAATGTTCTAAGTAATCAATTCCAGATTGTCTGTATGCAATGTGTGCAGAGACAGATGGAGCTGAGAATGTGTTTTCACAGAGTAGCCTTTTTAATGGGCAGAGCTTTCAAAGTGAATTGTCCAACTGGTCATTCAATAGCAGAATAATTTTGTACAAAAAGGACATCAGTAACCGTTCCGACGAGCCCGGAGACCACGGATGGTTGCCAGGCAGCAAGCCGTCTAGGGAGGGAAAACCTCTCGTGGACTTCAGACAGATTGATTTATCAATTCAAGGGTAAGTGGGAGCGGTAGAAAAGTGACAGTGATCAAAAACCTCATCCATAAACATCAGTCAGGTTTTTTGCTCGGGGAGTCTGACAGGATAACATTTCCCAAAGGCGGGAAACCCCCAACAGAAGCAGCAAGGATACGTTAATCATGAATGAAGGAGGGTGATTTTTTTTTTGTTATCGTACCAGTTGGTTTTATTATGACAATGCACACTTGAAAAGCAAAAAAGCCTTGGCATCCTGCAAAAAACCAACAAGATTATGACAATACGAGTCACTCGCTTGAGCCTGCATGGACCAGTCGCCGAGTGGACTGCGCCTTACATTATTATTGCAAAGGGTCACTTTCAGTTGAAACTCATTAGCAAACATATGGACACAAAAATAAAATTTGTGATTACATAAAATATCGGTCATTCCATCTTTGTATAGTGGGAGATACATTTTGATTTGCAAACACACACAATAAAAACACTTGAAATATGTGACCCATGACAGAAAAGAAAGTGTACATAACTGAATCATCAACTGAACTTCTAGGCTAAGATTTTTACAAATCACAGAAGACTAATCATTAATCATGTTTTATTTTAATAATCAAACAATTTGAGGCTGTATCAAAAACTTTGTAAAAAAATTAGAAGGAGAATTTCATTAACCGTTTTTCAGTCAGCTAATTATTGGAAATTCAAGGTTCTCTCTGCCTCGATCTCAGCCACAACCTGCAACCTCTAAACATCTGAACATCTGGGAGAGTCTCCATGGCACACAAAGTTCCTGCCTCGTTACATAAAAAAATAATTATCCCCGGTCCAAAATAAACGCAAGGGGTCCTTTTCCTGTGCACGTACGTGTACGGAGAATGGCATTTCACTTCTGCTGTACTTTTGTTAACCTCCAGTAACACCGTTGCCAAATTGAGGTAAAATCGCACGAACGGAAATCTGCATAAAACTATACATTTTGCATCCAAATCCACACTAAACTCTGCATTTACAAGTTAGTTAGATAATCTCTTTCATAATAAAAACAGTAGTTTTCTCACCCCACCCAGTTTTCTTGTTGCTTTATTGATCTGCTGATGGCAGCTGAGAGGAAGGTGGGGTTTCACCTAATGGACTGTAATTGGCATTTTGTTAAATCAAAACAGGAGTAAAGAGCTCCTGCAGGTTATTTTAGCAAGGCAGTCCTTTTCTTTCTCCGCTTTCTTCCAACCACCAACAAAAAAGAAAAAAAAACACAATCTATCAGAACATCTTCCAGATATACAGTGAATTTTAAAACCAATGAAACAAACAAATTATTATTCATCTCTACATCTTTTTTTTAGGCTACCTTGTTATTCTCATCTTTACTAGACATTGTGAATAAGGATAGGAACAGACAACTAGTGTTAAAAGGCAAACCGTATTGAATCTGAATAAACACACCCACTCATTCACTCACACACACACACACCTCGGCCTCCCATTCTCTTGTGTCGTCTGCAGGGGTGACTTAAGATCCTCGTGAGAGCTTTTCTCATATTCAGAGAATCTCACACTCCTTAATAAAAACACGAGTTGTTGCCTGCAGTGGTCTGATGGCAGTTCACTGTCTCCTCATATTATTTAAAAGCAAGACAAAAGAAGATCTGTTAGGCAAACGGTTCAGTCCAGGAAAAACCAAAAGAATAACCTTGGGATAATGATGAAAAAACTAAATAAAAGCTGGTATATTATATCAACCGAGGAGAAAAAAATGAAATGCTGGGAAGGGAAAACATGTCTCCCAATCGTCGCTTCTGACCAACTGGTCGATCCGAAAGCCAATGTGACGACAATTTGTTTATCTTAGGCCACTGTAGTAGCTGGGCTACCACTAAAACAGTAGTCCCACCCAGCTGGTTCAACCAATCATCCCATCGGTCTACTGAAAAACCCCACCCGACCCATTACTCCCCCTCCCAAACCAAAGTCCCCTGTAGTTTTGTACTTTAGCACCTCTTGTCATCTCTCCCTGTAAATGTCCAGACAGACAAACACCAGAATGGAAACCGTCACAGTTCCTCAGGCACCCTCTCCCTCCACCCTATGCGGGGAGGGTTAAACGAGTCTTAGGGTGGCACGTAGGGAGGTGGAGATCTGTAGGGAGTCATGTTCTTGGGACGGGAGCCCTTGCCCTCCATGGGAGTGGTGAAGGGAGGCGGTGGCTGGTAGGGAGGCGCGTTGGGGTCCTCGTCACGCAGAGCTGTGTATTCCCCCAGCAACTCCTGGTTCAGGGGAGTGGTCTCTGGCGTGGCCATGTTGGGGTACTCAGGGGGTGGAAGCGGGGGCTTCTCCTCCTGTAGAATCAAGGGCATGCTGGAAGATGGAGGCGGCTTAGAGTCATCAAGCTCATCGGCAAAGATAATTGGCACACCTTTTTTGATGAAGGTGGCCTGATCCTCGATGGTCAACTTGCCCTTTCTTTTCTTCCTGTAGCAGATCATCGCTATGATACCTGCTATCAACAAGATCGCTGCCACCACCACGGCGGGAATGACTGTGTGGAGATAGACATCGTCTGTGCTCTGCCGGCCTGTTCCCAGAGCTGGAGTTACTGCCGGGGGTTCTGGTATATCAATCTCTCCTGGTGGGATGAAGGAATATGTTCTGCAGCTTGCCCTTCCTTTGACCATGACGTCCAGAGGTCTGAATTCAGGCTCCATAGAGTACCTGAAGGTCGGTGAGGGTTTTCCGTCAGCATTGGCGAGCGTCCTGCTCATAGCTGTGAGCTGCTCCTTTGGACATGGGTGATGCGGGAGGCTGGTGTTGGTCCACTCCACCACAATGGATCCTTTGCTGATATTTCTAAGACTGACTGTACTGCTGTTGCGGTCCCCCAGTGCATAAGCCAGTTTCTTGACCAGAAGTATCTTCTTGTGGATGTCATTTGTTATTGACCGCGGCTCCCCGTCGAATCGGGCCGTGAAGATCACAGGGGTCTTGTCATTTAAGGGCCAGCGGTTTACACGGACCTCAAAAGCATCGATTACATTCAGGCCACCTTTATCAGTTGCCTGCATGAAGTACTCATGTTTCCCCACATGCTGGACATCAGGCAGGCCATAGAGAAGTTGGCTGGTGGTGTTGAACTGGATCCAGGAGCCCTCTCCAACCACTTCATTGTGGTTCTGTCTCAGAGTTAGGCGCAGCTTGTCTGTTGTGCCATCCTCTTTGTCAAAGAATGTGTCAGATGGGATCTTAACCTCGAAATAGGTGCCCACCAACGCGTTGACCTGGTCGATGGGGTTACGCAAGACAGGCTTCTCGTTGAATGGATCGGGGATGACGGCAGGCGATGGTGTGGTGCGCCTGGACGGTTTGGCTGTGGAGGTCTTTGACTCTCTGGTCACCGGTGTGGTTTTGGGTCTCTTAGGTTTCTTGGTAGGTCTTCTAGTAGGTGTGGGTGGTGTTGCAGTGGCCTCCACGTAAGTAGGCCTGGTCATGGTTGGCTGGATAGGAATGGTACTAGTGGTCTCCATTACCCTTGTTGGTTGAGGAGGTCCCAGCGTCGGGGTGTGGGCAATAGGGTCACGGATTCTGATCGTAGGCTTGCCTGGTAAAGGAACAGGGCCTCTTACTGGCGGAGCAGAGCTTTCGGTTGGTGCAGCAATAGAGGGAGAGGAGAGGGTTGGGATAATCCTCACCGGAGGCTCCACTATAGTTGTTGGAGGAAGTACTGCCAGAACAGGTGTTGGAGTGTTGTTTAACTGGCGCCTCACCCTCTTAGAGACGTGGGGTTTCTTGTTGGCAATGTGCCATCCCACCACAGGGTAGCCCAGTTTGGCTGACATTGTGCCTTCCTTTGCAGGACCCTGGACACTGTTGATATTTGGGACTGTGCTCTGCTCCAGTGAGCAGCCCAGCTTCCAGGACAAAAGAACGCCATTCTCCACCACCTGGGGAGACATTGAGAATTGTTCATTTAATTACCCATACATATATATTATATACTGAATTATTCACCTATTAGCAAATATTTACTAATCCATAAAAGCAGACAGTCGTGCGATCAGTCCCTCACCTTTTTTGCATTCCCCGGCCCAGCCATGAATGCAGACATGTCGAACAGTCTGTTGTTGACTACAGGGAGTATCTTCATGTGCTGGAGCCCCACCCCAGAGAAGCTCCTCATGTTATCCAGGAGCTCCACCCTCTGTTCTGAACTCATCTTGGTCAAGTCTGCGTCGAGGATCACCGTCAGCACCGTGACTGGTTCCTCGTTGCCGCACATGAACGGCTGGACGTCGTCTTCAATGGAGACTTGGTTTGATGCCAGCTGGGCCGAATCTGCGTCCAAATGATCTTCAGGGTGTACCTCGATGGAAAACACCTCCGAAGAAGAAGAAGCTTTTGTGTGGCTGGAGATGGATACAGAAATGTAATGGACCCCTTTGTCCTCCTCCAGTGGTAGACCCTGCAGGATTCTGCTGTTGGCGTCCCAGTGCAGCCAGGCAGGGAGGGAATCCTTCCCCATCTCTGTGATCTGAAAGACAAAAAAAAGAGAAAGTGAATTTACGGATGTTTGAATATACATGCTAGGAGACTTGTCCACAATCACCCGTGAGTTACAGATAATCGCAGATAAACGGGGGTTATTTGGTTTTATTGGATGAAAGATGTTGGAAACATGTCTGATCTACAAGCAAAGTAGAAAACAGAAAATGAAGGCCCTGACCATTAAAAGCTTTCAGAAGTAGAACATTTGGTAACTCTGAAAAAGGTTGCTTATGAAAACGGTAATGTACTTGGCAGTTTCCTGGAAAAGAGTGGATAAAAAAACTACACCTTAAAATGTTCACAAAGTACGATGCTTTTTGTCCAGTACACAACGGTTTAATGGATTTGAGGGCAGCTGGTCTTGTTTTAGGCTGTGGTATGCACAGTACTACGGATGCACCGATCTGACTTTTTCAGCCCCAATACCGATGCCAGTACCTGGGCTTTGGGTACCAGGGTAAAATGAATGGGCTGTATTCCTCGCTGTGAGGAAGAGACTGGGAATTGTGATCTTTGGCATGATGCTTCTGGCATTGGCTTTGGGGATACTGAACGTAGCGGTACGACTTGTTGGCCAGTGAAATACCTCCAACCAGCTGACCCCTTGTTTTTAGCTCCCTCCATGCTATGTTAGCAAACTATTCGGATCTCCTAGTGCACTGCTGACGCATTGCGCAGTACGCGGGTATTTGAACTGATAAGTCGGCCCCCTTGTCCCCAAAACACGATCCAGCTATACGGAGCATCCCTACTACGTACCGATTGCTTTTTTAAATCCTGATGCCATCTTTAACTTTTGCAGGACTAAACCTCACAGCTTGTACTTCTCATCAACACGTTGTTATTACTCCAAATGTAACTGATCTGTTATTGATGCAAGTTATGCTTTATTTTAAAATGTTTTATGACAGGCAGTGATGGAGAAATAAAGGGTTGGGTTGATTTAGTGCAAAGCCCTACTCCCTACAAACACACCTACAGACTCGCTGAAAAGCATTGCTCTGAATTGGAATTTAAACCCGACTAAAATTAAAATAACTTGGCCAATTATACAACCGGGGACGTCCCCATGGCAGGAGGCTGATGGAGAGAAATGGATCACAGGGGAGTGACAATGCATCCACACACACACACACACACATAAATCCCAAAAGAAGAACAAATGCATCCCGTGCTCCCCAGCCCCTACAAGTTAATTCTGCAGCTAATAAATCCTGGTTGATAAATTATGTAGAGGCAGTGCTCCCTAGACACATCATTAATGCTCTAACCAGCACACAGGCAGCGCCGGGGGAAAACACACACACATAAACACACACACACACGAGGCCACAGACAGACACACAAGGCTAGGCATAGAAAGCTGTATGTGCATCTTCCCTCAGAAATACAGTGTGGCCACCCGGATCAAATCTAATGCACACACACAGATATATTATCGGCAGGAGCTGGGCTTTTAACAAATATCCCCTCACGGACACTTCCTCAGACCTCTCACCCTTTCCTCACAAATACCTGCATCTCGCTGTTTTCACAGGCGCCGAGGAAACAGCGAAGGAACACGGTGGAAATAAGCTATTCCAATGATTTTATTAATGGCCTCCTGCTTTTTCTTTTTGCCATGCCTCATTCATTCATCACATTCAGTCCCCTCTTTTGTTCCCTGTTCATTTCCCTCTCTCTCCTTCTGACACCTCGCCTCTGAATCGCTGCGTTCCTCTTTTCTGCTGTCATTATTTCAAAATGCCATTATCAAAATCTGACAGTCCTTTTCGTCGGTAGACAGAAGCTCGTTTCTGAGGTGGTGATGTAGGAAGACGTCAAGATTTCTGGCCAAGATTATGAAGCCTAGCTTGAAAATGATTACTACAGGAAACATATTATTTCTAACTCAATCCCTCTGGATGTGTGTAGATTAAAGGAAAACATGCAGGAGTCTTTTCTATTTTCCTTCCAACAGGGAAGAACGTCCACTTATCCAAACAAATAAGCCAAAGTGTTGGTGGCAGATACTTGCCTGGAAAAGAAAACAAGAAACAAAAAGACTTATGTCATCAAATGTCGGCTCCTCGAGCGATGTTAGATTTAATTTGTCACGCAGAGTTCTACAGCCTCAAAACTTTAAACCAAATGCCTCTTGACATGACATTGCAAATTAAATCACAAAGAGACGATGAAGGACAAGTGAGTTGCCGGGCAGTAATCTCATCATAACTGTCATAATTGCTCCGTAAATGAAAAAATTGCATCCTGAAAGCACAAGGATGATCCTCATCTGTGGCCAATTAAAATATGGGTAAGAGGAAAAAAAATAGGTGACGCTTAATCTAATTCTTCAGGTACTTTGGTCAGAAGAGGTTAAAAATATCCCACATTTACCACAAACAAATCAGCTGTAGCTGGTGTTGCGACGTTTGGCTCTTTTTAATGACAAAAACAAGCTGGTGTTTGAATCATCAGCTGCTCCCCATCCCGACCTGAACAGCACAGACAGACGGTGGCTTTACTGGACTCCACATGTGATGGCTCATTGTTTTTCTATAAGCTCCCCAATGCAACGGACCAAAAAGCAATGTCTGTGTAAGTCTAAGTGGCCGCACACTACAGGAGAACTGGGCCGATCCGGGATCCGGTTCGCCCTCCTGACAATCCCAAGCTGAACCTGGTCGGAGGGATTATAGACAGAATCTTAAGGTCTGGATCGAAGGCTCCCCGATTTTAAAGCGTAAAATATTAAATGTAGAATCCTGCTGATTCCCTCATCAACTTCATCCACAGTTTGATTCTCGTCTTTTGTTTTTCTCTGCAAAACTCAGCACACACAAGGTCGACCAGCTGACGACGACAGTCTGCCTCCATGTTTGTTTCTGTCTGAGATCCCAAGTCCCCGGAGCCGCCACTCTGAAACCGTTTAGTAGAAACGCAGAGTGTGCGGTCCTGAATCTGGACTGAACCGTCTGATATATGTGATAAAATATTAAACGTCGGTTCATTCTGTCGTTCTGTCTGCGGGATCAAACCTTTTTAACATCGGTTAAGATCTGAAAATCTCCCAGCATGCACCGGGCATAAGTGTTGAAACAAAATCACAACGGTGACTTTTAAAGTCCAACGTGAACCCAGCAGAGAGCTTGTAGCTTCCAGTCTCCCTAAAAGAACATGAAAACACATCAAATCCCCCAAAATGTCAAGAAAAATATTTCCTATCTTCTCCTGGCACGAGGCTTCAGTGCAAGAGAGCTGGATGTTTGGCCCTAAAGGTTATCGTGTGCTCCCACAGTTCCCTCCCGTACAACACACACCGCTGGCAAGGTGACTGCTGAGCCCTCCTGAAACAGCCGGGGAAAACCCTGCGCTCTGGAAGATTGATTTGGAGACGCACAGAGGGCCGCGGAAATGAAGGAGACTAAACTATTTTCTGGGAAGCTATTAAGGTGGCGGCAAGGGCAGCGTAGGGCAGAGAGAGAGAAGCAACAATCAAAGTTAATTTACTGAGCAGTACGACGACCTTATTCCAGTTATATGCCTTGCTCAAGGACTTCCGCAGGAAAATCATGTCCAGAGATTCCAACGCTGACCGTTTTAAGTGACCCGGCGTTTGAGTGGGTTCACAATTACTTTAAGCACCGTGTACAATGAATGTTAATGTTGACGGCGTTAATAAAAAACAGCCACTGAGAGATAAGAGCCTTTTGGATGGTTTAAACAATGAATCGCTGACATGTGTGAAGAGGTCTGAGCACGGCTGCCACCCCCGGTGTGAGCGCAGCAACCCCCCCGACTTTAAAGATTGGTAATTAAAACAGAAAGAATGATAAGCTCATCAAAGTTAAGGGTTGTTTGATAGTTTTTCTCACTGACAACACACGAGTCAGCCATAAAGCCACCGTGACTATCAGCACTGTAAGCTGCAGCGAGGCGCGCTGCATCTATAGGAGCGACGGCCGTGAAACACTGGGAGACTTTATCATCATCGCTGGCGTCACTCCCTCGGTTTGTTTGGAGTTACAGTCCTCAGTCGCTGCAGTCTGAAGAAAGACTGCACATCAGCCCGGACAGACTGCCGAGTGGCCTCGGCGCCGTCGACGGCTGAAGCACACGTTCAACTTTATCTCTGAGAAATCCTTCTGCAGTCTATTGTTACGAATTACATTTTGAGGTATCTGTACTTTACTTGTATTTCCATTTGTACACTAAAGTTTAGAGGCAAATACTGCGCTACTTTTCTCTGCCAGCTACAGATCTTTTACGAAGCAGGCGTGCACGCGCAGGATGCAGCGTGGGTTAGTTTGGGTCAGTGATGATACGGCTGCAGAGATTTTTCAGTCACCCTGAAGTCCGGTCCTTTTTTAGTTTTTATGAGAGCGCTGAGAAAATGAGCTCATGGTGAGCGCAGGGTGAGTTAACTTTAGCTCTGGTTTGTCTCTCTTGCTAACCGCTTGTAAACTGAAGCTCTCAGCGTTGCTGCTCTTGTAAAGACGCTGCACGTTGTTCTGCTGCTGTGTGCGTCGTGTGTCTGCAGACTATTGGTCCGCTGCACACAATAACACGTCACGCTGTTTAGTCAACCAACCAGCATCTCTTTTTATCATTCATTTTAAATCCAGCAGCCATCAGATTAGTTGTAAAAGTGTGAGAGCAGGAGAAACGCCGCAGACTGCTCTGTATTTACGTCAGCTGTTGGCAGGTACTATCACTGTCTTCTAAAGACTCTAAAGACTCATTTGTTTTCATGCAATTGTGCATGGGCTCACTGCATTGCCTTTATAATATCACATAATATAAAATGTTTAATGATATTGCACACTTAAATGGTTTTCATATGTTTACAAAAAGGTATTGGCTGTTTTTTTCATGTTTACACAAACAAAATGGTCATTTTATTTGTAGTTTTCATTTTTACAGCGCCGTGATAATTCCGGTCACCATAATGGTGATATGAAATTTTCATATTGTTTCATCCCTAAAATGAAGTGGACCCAAACA